AGCAGGTGACCGGACATTTTCTTCATAGACCCGACGATTACAAATGCAACGATTTGCCAAACTACATCTCCATTTTTGGGCTTCCAAAGGAACCCTTCCATCGGAACCCAGTTCACTTCGCCTCTGTTCGCTGACAATAACTGGACACGGGGTCATTCCCATCAGATCACGTTCTTTCCACCCACAGCCAACTGAGCAGATCGTGAGTTTGCTGACACGAAATCCAGGGGTAGGGAACGACTGCAGGAAGGCTGGGTGCATTCCTACTGAACTGCAAAGCCACTACCAATTCAGGAACAGCTGTTACCCCGCCTGTTTGATGAGTAGTCACGTCTAGCGTAACACATTATTCGGCTAGTATTGAGCCAAGAGTCGGTTGTAATGCAATAAAAATGGGCTTTGCGACCGAGAGATTGTGTGGTAGTCATTGACTATCGCTGTGGCCATTAAAATGGGCTGTCGACATCATTTAAAGGCAGATTTGTTGTGCTCTGCTCGACGCCCTATTGGGTTATCTTCTGTTTAGCTGCTACACTAACCATCTCTGACAAATACTTCATCGTAGTCACAAAATAGTTGTGCATCACTTTGCCTTGCTCTCGTATTAGAGGCGTCGAACTAGTAATGCTTACTGGGGTCTGAACAGCTCCTATATTAGTGCCAACGACAAACACCACACTAACATGGACGAAAATCCAATACGGTATATGCTGATTCCATCAAAATGCGGAGGTTATACACCGAACAAACTAGGAAGGGAGCTGCTAGAAAGGCACGTTTCCTAGAGCACAGGTCAGCAAAGTTCGCGACCAGAGATATAACACATGTATGTGCCCCATAGTTTAGAACAACCTAAATCCGTAGCGTCAACTCCAAACAAACGGGGAACGCATCAACCAGCAAACTAATGTTGGCATAAAGTCCCATCTCTAATCAATCGGACTGTAAGTAGAACGGTGTGCCAGTACAATTGACTTATGCCTTCGTGTTAAATAGACTCCACCTTACCGTCTTCTCGTCTTTTCCTGACACTTGGTCTATTCTGACAGTCCGACGTAACACCCGACTTCTACGGGAATAGTCGGCCGGTGGCCGAAAGGTTTGTACGCCTGGCTTGCAATCCTTAGGTCACCGGTTCGAATCCAAATAGAGGCGGGCGTCTTCGCCGTATACTCAGCCCACGCGCGATCCGTCGTAGTCACGTGTCAGCGAAGCGTCGGTACAGTGTGCTGGCGAACTGCTGATGACTTTCTTTGTGGGCACGTAGCCTGCCTTTTATTTCGAGGGCGCAGACTCGAGCCTGCGTAGGGACCGTGCGACTCTCTTTGTAATCTCTACCGGCGTGTGACCGGCGATAGTTGCTCGGCAGTGAGGCCTCGATACTGAGTGCCGGCGTACTCCGGATGACTTTTTTATGACTTCTGCGAGACTGTTTCTATTCATTGGACCGCTAAAATCAGAACTATCTTGGAGAATGGCAGCAATCTAACTGAATGTCGGGCACTGCTTGGTTAAAGTTAGAGAAACACCGATTTCCTCTACCGCTATGAGACCAACTATATCCATACGTGAACTGCGTTCTCGGAACTCGGTCACAGATACTGCGAAGACGATGCGGAATGGAACCGTGTACGGGGTGCATAGCAATATTGAGGCGCGAGAACACGAAAATGAGAGGACGTGATGGTAGTGTCAGATCAGAGTGAACAGATGAACCAACCGAGCTAACCAGACAGCCAATTGGTGACGAACGTTACGGATTCGATTACCGGCCACGGAGTGACCGACACTCGTGTGTTATTCACCGTTTGTTTAACTGAGTCAAACGTCGTACCTCATCAACTCAGAAGGGTCGTTAGTTATGGGTATAAACGTGAAACATAGATCGAGGAGTTTGGCTTGCCAAACATGCTGTATTCTTCGCTTTGACTTTTTCGTATAAACGCTTGTCTCTTAACGTATGGTAGCAACGAGTATTAACGTTACGCCAGTATCTCCTTCGGTGCTTTGCTACTGCTCATCCACCAGTGGTTGCATGCGATCTGAAGTACCGCTTAGTCGCCACACGTTCTCAGGATCGAACTAATGACACGCGGATCGCAAGTCAGACGCCTTAAAACTCCGATGAGCACCCGCCTTTGTTAGACATTACTTGCTAACACCGTATGGGTTGTACCGGTTTCAAATATGTTACCACCCGGTGCGCTCTCTGGCTTGCCAGGTCAGCTACTAGGTTCCAATCCCAACAACCCTTATTACCGCAGATTTCCAGAATCTTTCGTATTGAATTGATGTCGAATTCGCGGCATTTAGCTTGTGATCTGCTTGAACCATCGCTCGCTTCGAGTTTCCTTTCACTTGACTTAAATAAATAAAGTTTTATTCCTCGACAGTGCGAGGCACAATCCAACTGAGGGAGCTGATCAATTTGCACATCGGGATCGCATAAAATGGTAGGCTATACATGTTTTGTACAACGGGTCCCGGATGGGTTTCTGGTGAACGGCAGTTTGGTAGTATTGGAGAGAACAAGAAACAGGAAGCAATATCAAATGTAGATTTTTCCAAAAGTTCAAGTAAAGTGATATGGCCACCCATGGAACTGTCCCAAGGGAATTTGCTACTATGCGAGTTGATCCCTCGATGGGTTTCACCCGCACTTCCATGCTCCAACGGTCTGTGTGCCGGTGTGGCAACATAGCATGTAAGCCATCTCCTGTTTCACAAATGTCATTTTTTATTCAGGCTATTTTATGCATGCATTATAGGCGATGTAGCCTCAGTCCGATCCGTCATGCGGATCATACAAGCATGGCACTTTTTTGTTATTTTCCAGCGTGTCAGTGGCAGTATGCTTTGCATGGGCATAACTTTTGCAAGCTGTAATCCGTCACTCAAGAGATCAGCCCACTCGTGGCCAACAGTGAAATATAGAAAAATATAAGGTATAAGGAATCAAAAGTATGATATTCTTTACAACCTTTTGCTGATAGACCAAGCATAGTTTGGTGGAAAATCATTGCGAACATCGACGATCGTGTGGAGATTTCAGCTTAAGACCTAGTTCATCTGCGAAACAGTGCACCAAAGGAGAAGAGAATATTGGTTAAACGGGAATGCAGGATTGGTAGGAATAACATGGATTGTAAATACATACTAAGGAGTTAATCCATGTGGAGATAAAATTGCATTATTGTGACAATTAGGGGATATTGCAACTTTTAACTGTATCCATGACCATTCTCATACAAATCCCCTAGAGTCATCTTTGGCTAAGTGCTGACCTGATATTGGAAACGGTCAGGTGAACATTGATCATCCGTTTGAATTGCAGATAGGAAGAGCATTTTCTGATATTCGATGGAAGTTTATTCCATATCAACGCATATTTTACTGAGAAAAAATTTGAGCGGAGCTTGGTACGAGACTTTTGAATATGCAGTATGCGCTCGCTGTTTCTTATGTCATAGCACTTGAGAGCCTGAAACTCGAATTGTGGCTGAGCTGTAAAGCTTAAGCCGAATAATAAGCGGTAGAGAAGGCACAGATTTAGTTTGAGTCTGCGCAGCCATAGCGGCTGCAGTTTTAGAGCCTCGCAACGCTCACGGTAAGTCATAATGTTAGGCATGTTCAAGCATCTCTTTGTGAATGATCGTTGGATGTTTTCCAGTGCTATGATGTCCACTTTTCTCAGATTTCCGTGCACTATTGTACAGTATTCAAGCTTCGGCCTAACACACCTTTTAAAGGCTTGAAGCCTGGACTCCCTCAAGATAAGAGTTCAGTTTATGTAGGCGATGGTTTTTCTGGCAGAAGCCTGTAAGGATATCACTTGCTCTAAAAAATAAATGAGGCGGCATATCTTAGCTCAAGGTCTCGAACTGCGTCACACACAGAAATGGGTGTTGTTTAAGGTTACGACGTTCGATGGAGTGTCACAGCCGTAGTACAATAGGTTACACTTGTCAGTGGCGAAGTGAAACTTCCAGGAGTTACTCCAGCGCTCTATTGCTGACAAGTCACATTGAGTACAGGCTAAACTAAAGCTACCTTGCCCAGGGGCGGAACAATACACCATTTTAACATCCTGAACAAAGAGGAAGTGCTTCCTGAACACAATTTCCTTAAGGAGATCATTAAAGTAGATTACGAATAAACGCGGACCCAACACCCTTGAATCACTTCACTAAATATTGAAGTGGTTTCATATGTATAGTTACCATTCTGACTGCTTGCTTTCTACCCTCGAGATAGGAAGACAACCACTTTAGAAGCGAATTTGTGATACCTGCTTCATTGGACAGTTATGCCGGTCTACTAAAGTTTCTTACGAAGGACATTCTTGACTACCAAGTCTGAAACTATGCAACCTCCATTTGATGGCCTCACGGTTGCCACTTACGAGACAGTCACCTGTGTTTCATGTGCTTTCAGACACAGCGAAAGCGGTCATGCATCTGGCATATTACGACAAGTTTTCTTTTGAATTGTGGAAGTGCTCACTCGTTGACTAGTACAGTTAATCCGATCAAAAGACGAAGGTTTAATGTGGCTGGCGCTGCTACTAAACACATACGGCCTTCTATCTAACTCACCCCACTTTGGGATTTTGAGTTATCAACATCCCTATTCCGTTTAGTGCCTCATTTTTTGCCATAAATGCCTTGCATGGAATTACCGCCACTACAACGCTTCGGTCTTTAGTTAAGTACCTCTCACTCCTCTGTAATGTAAAACTACACCACAAGCCGAGTATATCCCAGCAAATTACTGGCACAGAACTGCTACCTTGCAATATCTTCGCGAACTACCAACTAGCATGTGATTGATGCTGTGCTTTTTGTGAGTCTGACTGACCATGCTAAATGACGCGTGCTTCATCAAACTAAGGTAGCGCGCACTCTTTCTGTTTACCTGAATAATCAACACAGTCGAGGAATAAATAATTTGTTTACCCTAATTTACTCATTCCACTTATTATTGACACTTTCTATGTTCAGTATCCGAGTTAATGGCGTTGAAGCAAATTGAATCGGACGAAAAATTCGGTGATTTGGATAAAAAACGAAAGGAAGAAGAGGAGACTAGCAAAAAGCAAGTTGTTTTTCAAAGCATTCCGTTGTAGCCAATTAGCACAGCTACCTTTATGTCCCTGGTCAGATCAAAATGCATATATGTTCCTTTTAGCGGGTTTACAGCTTGCCCACGTGTATCTTTATGTTCTGATGAAGTCTAGTCGTTTAACAACCGTGTTATACCAATCTCTGCATTGCCTTATTAAAATTCGCGATGCTCATTCATTGCTGTTACTGTGTATATGTTTAATTCGACTCAATTCGGTCGTTGTGTTGTTTCCTGCAGGTCCCTAGTTTTAATGTTCATCTTTTATCTTTGGAGGTTTCAGCTCCACACATCCATGCTACATAATACTATTCATTAGTTGTCCGTTAGGTTGGTTTCCAGATTCTTCTACTACGTGTTGCATTTTCGCATAACGTTGTGTGAGTGATCCGCCCTTTTCACTCTTGCTTTTGAGAGATCTAGTCTAATTATTACATTTAAGCCCTGTCGGAAGATTATCTGCAGTGAAAATAATCAAAACTCATTTATACCGTTCCGAAAAAACGTGACATCCTTTTGGTTACTTTCTCCTCGTTACTCTGTTATGGCGACCCAACGTCCCCACAATGATTACAAGACTTAAACCACGGAAGGTAATGAGATTCGATTCAGGCAAGTGCACATGTTTCGCTCAGCCTTCCAACTCGTGACACTTTCACGTTACGATTGGCCTTTATACCTCAGAAAACATTCCTGTTTCCGGCCAACCGCAGTCATTAAACATTCAGCCTCTTTTACCTAAGAAACATTCAGTTTTCTAGTCCAGCCTTCCCATCTACCAACATTCACTTTTCAACATGTTCCGTTGCCATATTTGCATAGTGCCAATTCAGCTGCTTCCAGGGTTTGCTTAAGCAAACTATTGGCACCATCGAGGTATTAAAGAAACGCTGGAGTGCGCTGTAATCGTCTTGAGCCTGGCCGGTAAAAGTGCCTACGCGAAAGGCATGTCTTTTATCTTGTTCTCTGGGGTTTAGGTATCTGCGTGTGAAATTGCGTTCTGACTAGGAGCCCGTTCAACTCGCGCGTAGTAACCGTGTTGCGCCTAAGTCTCACGGGTCTTACAACTTCGAAGTTTGTTAGTTACTTTGTCGTGAATGAAATAGTTCCTAGCCACATTCGTTCGGCCGACTAGGAGGGTTGATACCAAATCGTCAGAGCGTGGCGTAACCAAGTGGCAGTTATAACAGACTCGCAGACCTCGCTAGCTTTATGAAAGAGTAGTGCGTTCATCCTTGTTTCTCTGTCTTAACTTGTGGTTTTCTATATGCTCTACACACCTCTCTCCACCTGATCTTTATCTCATCCGACTTGGACTATCTGGCTGTAACGTTTGATCTAACTGCCTCGATATCAACTTAACCTTCGTATTGATAGGCATGGTATCCCACCAGAACACCGCACTCAGTCCTTTCATATCAAATGAGCTGCATCATTGCCTGACGTTCATTACGGCGAATAAGACAACGAGCCAGTGAGCCGCATTCCGACAAGAAAATAGTTGCTTTGCACATTTTTATTATCAAGGGATCATTGGATGGAATTTTGCTAACCATTACTCTACCGCATCATTTGCGTAGCTTCTTGTCCTTTCCTCTTTCGTGGCCGCAAATATTAGACTTCCTTTAAGACACACGGCAATCGACACCCCATTCTACTGTGTGTACTGTCGATATCTGAATCCATCTGATGCGACAGTTCAAGAATCGGATGGAACCTTTGTTAAATATAACAGTGCTGTCGCGATTTATTCATTCTCCTACGATCGCAAATTTCGTTACTGGACGATGTCTTGTGGCAAAACTGAATTCTCATGATAAGCTCAGGCTGCACGCTTTCGCCCATCATCTGTCATTTGAGGTTCTGTTCTCTCTACTTTGTTCTTCGTTCTGTAAGCCTCAATTCGTTCGATTCTCAACCTTATTTGGTTTCTAATGCGTTGCTTTTACTTTGACTACTCCGTTATCATTCCTTCTTTACCCACTGGGAACATGCTGCTCTAACTTACGCGATTTTACGATTTCAAAAGCACTAGCTCTTAACAGCAACCATTAGGGGAAACATCGTTTTAAAGAAAAGAAAATTTGTTCTCTCCGTTACCAGTTCGTTCTCATAAGTGTACATTGTGCGCGGTCCTTGTTGATGCGCGCGATTTGTTCTGTGCTTTCGTCACCCAATGGGTTATATGTACTCAGCTTTGCGGATCCATCTACTACCTGCTGTTGTTTAACAGATTTTGTGACTACATGCGCGTCAGCATAATTTTGTTATCGCTTCTCGCATTTTGTCTTACGAGGTGGATAGAACACGTGCTCTGTATCAGGATATTCAGCGATATTTTTATGGGGACTTATCCGACTTCTAGAGGAATATGCTGCCCATATTCTCCACTTTTGTCAGTGAGACATCCAGCAGGACTTCCACACAATCATTTTTGTTGCGAAGTTGGGCCTCACAAAGTTTCTCCTAACCCACTGCACTTATCTCGAAGAGCCTAGTGAATAGGGTTTCCTCATACACACTTTTCATTTTGTAGAATATCACTTTCATTTGAAATCACAACCAAGCGTGACCACTTACTTCGATTGTGATCCTCAATTCTTGAGAGACTGCCACATCTGTTCCTTTGTTTGTAAGATTTTATGCTGAGGACGCTGGTCCTTATTCTTATATTTGTAAGGTAGTATCTATCATTAGGTACCCTATTATCAATTCGTGATTCCGAGTTGCGGTACCATATTACTATATTCATACCGCTTCCATTACTTGTCTAGGTCACCGGTTCCAGCCTATACTGAGTTATTTACCTGTTGGGTGAAGTAGCATTTTATCCGATACATCGACGTCCATAGTTACTTCGTTTCTTTGCATCGGGTTTCTGTATTTATCTCTGGTGTATGCACCTCGTCCTTGAATCATTACGTCGGCTTTTTTATCCCCCTTTCTTGCCCTTTATGCTTCTATGCCAACTTATGTTGATATTGATGACTGCTATTATGGACTTTTTGAATGGTATCCTCGTTCATTGTCCACCGTACTACTACTCTGTGAACACTTACTCACCTGTCCTGCTGTTCTCCTTCGTGGGGTTTGAGATGTGGACTACCACAAAGTTTTGCTGCTCTGACTGAGCGGGAACCATCTTAGACCCATCGAAATACATTTCGCTTGCTCTGACACCTTACTCTTTCCATCCCTTACAAATGATCCAAATTGTGCGTTTGGCTTTCCGCAGGTCACAGGAACCGAAAGCCGCTATTGGTTTCGTCTATGAGGACAGCACCGCACCAGTTTCACAAGGTACTGCGCCTGCTCCAGACCCAGTAGCCGCAGAGGATAGCGAATCTGACGGTGAGGCTGATAGCGACATGGACATTGGTAAGTTTCTAACATGCGATACCTGTCCACAATGGCCTAAGCCACCGATGCATTAGTTCTCTCTATATTTTTTGTGTTGTACTACGTCCGGTATAGGATACCGCGTTCAAAGTCCTAGTAAGCAACAAAATCCAGTAGTGAGACGTTGCTAGTTAGCACACATTAGCCCTAGTTCTATGCACAGAAACTTGGGGCAATCAACCACATTGTCTTGGTGTTGATTGCGACATGTGGTTTTGTGTTGCTATTCATTCCCCATCTAAGTGTTCTGCCTGTATTGCTTTTACCATTGATGGGAACAATCAAAGTGTTAACACATTGCAACCTATTTGCTTCTTGCCTTAAAGTCATTTAACAATCTTTTAACCTACGGAAGCTTGTAAACATTTTACTATCGTCTCTTCCTTCAGATCTTCCACTCTACCATCCCGCAGCTACTTTGTTTGCGCAGGCAGAACCGCAGCTGTCTGCAGTGCGAATGTGTTCTCTTTATCTCGTAACCCTCCGAGGATCAGAACGAATTTTGGACCGCGGTCAAAAATCCGCTATTGTATTCAGTGGTTTGCTCTACAACATATAGATTTAAGTGCTGGCTCGGTTGATAGATCACCATCATTCCGTACGTGACATCACTCTCTCCCTGAAGGGTAGGGTGTACAATGCAGCCTTACTTTCGACCCTACTGTACGGTAATGAAACCTGGCCCACTAGATGGACAGACGTGAAGATGATAGTTACGTTCGATCGCCGGTGCCTTCGTAGTTTGGTTCATATCTGGTGGGATACCGTATAAGCAGTGAGCTTGTTAAGTGTCATGTATTTGGTGCAGGAAGAGCGAGTGTACCGCCCAGTACCGTTATCTTGCGCACAGGCTCCGATGGTTGGGCCAAGTGTTACGCATGCCAGCACACCGACTCCCACGGCGTGCGTTGTTTGCGCGACCGGGGTGTGAATGGAAGACAAGCAAGGGAGGCCAACCGATGACATGGTCAAAAGGAGCATAGGCCGTTACTTCGAAATTGGCCTCGGTTAAATCGTCTCGGCTTCCTAGTTTGTGCCCGAAAGATGATGAACACGTTTGGTTGTATACACCTGATGACATGACTAGGAGCCGACCTCAGTGGTGTTTGTGTTGTGAGTTTCTTTGTCCCTTCCCCTCCCTCTTAGTCTCCTCCAACCACGTTTTCATTTCATAGGCATAATATCACTTTTTTACGAACGATGTCAATCCGTTACTGGGGTTAACCTCTAGTGCCTGTGTTGCGTCTTTTTTCCCTTCTTATGTATTGAGATACGATAGCTAACGTATTTCCAACCTCTAGAAAGCACGTATAATGATCATGGTGCCGTTAGACTTTCTTGGAGTGGAGTAGTCAACTCGAAATGGTCTTTATAATGTGGTCCCATTATTTGGTATGCACTCGGCACTATAGGGCAATGTTGTCAGGCCACCAGCCACTTGATGATTCCTTGATTCTTGATGGCGACGAACTCGACGCAGTTGGTTAGTCCACTTATCATGACAGATACATCAGCAGCGATGAGCGCGTGACTACTGGAGTTAGTACAAGTACTCCGAAAGCTAAAATCGTCTTCTTGAGCCGTGAACATCTGTTGCGTTCGTTAGAAGAGGACTTCTTTATATCTCATAGGCCGGAAGTGACAGTAAGTGCCGTTCTGCCGTACGTGAGTGAGACTGGCTCCCTTCGATGTGAGGAGGATCCGAGGTGCCTTCTAGTCTTTGCTCATCACTTTCTGTGGAGCATTGCTGGTGTTGCATGGCACTAGCACGTCTGCGACGATAATTTTTGTAGGCGAGTACTAGACAATGTTAATTGAAAAGCACGGAAAGAAGACGAAGGCTGGTAGATGCATGCATTTCGTTTTGTCTCCTCAGTACCATTAACAATAACCGATATGCATAGATATAGCTAACAGTGGGTGCAACCAGACAAGCTTAAGGTGCGAAACGAATGACGGAAGTTCACACCTACGTCCAAGGTAGCTTTAGGTTGACAAATAATTGTTCCTGAACATACAAGGCTGGTTTAATCCGCTTATAGCGACAGCCTCAGCAAACCGAAGGAAGCGGGGATTAGTGTGACGTAACACAACGTTAAACGCTGAGCCCAGCTCTATCTGGTGACCTGAGTCTAATAGGTGTTTACGTATCGTGGAAGCCAGCGGTCAGCGCGAACATGGAACCTGACGAGGGTAGTCAATCTGAGCAACTTCACGTTGAACCCATCTTGGTACATGTTCCTTTATCCGGGAAGTCAGCGTAGTTCTATGTAAATTTTTCCGCAGTCACATACAAATTGGTATACAGTGTGAGTTGGCCCCAATAGGCTGAGCTTCCTTCGTTGGAGGTATGGGCAAATTTCGGGTTCGGTTGATAACGACAACTTGTGCATATCGGTTATTGTTAATGGTACTGAGGAGACAATACGAAATGCATGCATCTACCAGCCTTCGTCTTCTTTCCTTGCTTTTCAATTGTTGAAGAGAACTAACTGCTTTAAATGTTAATTGAGCTAGTTTTTTAGAAAGGAGGAGAGCCTTGTTTTGTTTACCGGATGGGGTGGCGCGGAGCTAGAAGTGTGCAAAATTTGACTTGGCAACATGAAAAATGAAGTCGCTGACTACAAAACTGGGTGCGGTTGACCCTTCTCGCATTCCCTGCTGGAATCCGCGTAACCCGCCTGGTGCTTTGCTTCAGCCTTTACAAGATTTGGCTTATAGTCGCATTATTGGCGCGTCTGCTGTCATCCAGTCAATCTGCCTGTTTAAATTATGCGTGGCGCTGAATTATCTGTGGGGTAATGGCTGATTATGAGACGGGACAGTAAAGGTCGCAAAGGAGCTGTTTCTTCGATGTCTCCTTATCTGCGCAGGATAGCCAGCTGTTTGTGACTGTACCTTCATAACAAGGTATATGTGCCACGGCTCTGGGTGTTTACTTTGTGCGTTTAGGTTTTACACTAGATCCTTCTCCTTCCATTTTTATTCACTCCTCTGATCATTATGGTCATACGGCAGCGGAGTATCAGTATGAATGGCTGACGTACTGTTGTTGCTGATGATGCTAACTTTAATGCATCATTGCAGTAAATAAGTGTTTCGGTGTGACCGCAACGTCTTGAAGGTGGACGCCGTTGTTCACAACGCTGTCCTCATGTCTGAGCTGATGCGTGGACAGCGTGATTTCTGTTGTCGTAATGCTTGTGTGTTCCGTCTGAAAAGACTACTCTGGGTGACTGCTGACCGCTCATGCCTGCGTGTGCTGCTTGCTAGTGTCTCACACGTTTGGAAATGTTCAGTTTAGTTAAACAACCATAATCCGGACACGAAATGTGGTAGCTCCTGTTGCAACGATTAGCATCGCCAGGATGATAATTGTGCGAAAATTAAGCAGAACGTAAACAAAATACATAGAAAATAGTGTTAAGAAATAGGCGCGTAAATTTGTTGGGGATGGGATATTAACATCCAGATGCAAGAAACTGAATGCATAATCGTCACTGACTCGACGACTGAACCTTGTCAGACAAAATCCCCAACCACTGATGTTGACTATCCCGTGGCCCTCATACATCACAACTTTCTGTCAATCTCTCGATGCATTTATGCCATGTCATAAACTGGTCACCTCGTAGTTTCGCGTAACATAATTTTGCGGCAGTATATAATTCACACCGAGAAGTTAGATCGTCGTTACTTGCTTGTGCATTTAGTTCTTTGCTTCTGATTGTCGAAACTCCCGTTTGCTTCTTTTCGCTGCCAGCTTCGCCTCACTGTTACTGATTGTTCCCATCGCAGAGATGCTAGTGGCGGCACCTCAATACACTAGACTTTTGTACTTGGTTCAAGCAAGTTGGGCTGAATTGGTATTAGAGCCTGCACTTGCTCATCGCATCACCACCATGACACACTTACACACAGGTGATGCCCTCCCACCTTTTAACGTAATCCCTGTAGTTTACTTCGGTTCTTTTACTTATCTGTCTGTTTGCGCTCAAATTTCCGTACTAGTTTTCACACTCGGCCCTCTGTTCCACATGCGAATTTCTCGTGGATTAGCTGGGGTGACTATACTTTACCTACTCATGTATCTGTCCCTTCAACTTTTCTGGGAACAAATGCCATTTTTACTTCTAACCGCCACCTTTTTAATTACACCACAGATGTGGAATTGGATTTGGCAACTCTTGGTGCTGATGGTCGAAGGCAGTTAGCTCAATCTGCAGCCACGTTCGGTTTGCATCCGACGGATTTCGTTCGTCTTCTGAACGCAGATCAGCAGTTGGAGACGGAATTGCGCCTGGCCAAGGCATTGGAAGAAGAGAAGTTGCAACTAGCCGTAAGCTACGGAGTTTTCCATACCACTTGTTCGAATCGGTTTCAGTATCTCACAGCACATCTCCAACGTTTCCCTCGTTCTGTGCCCGTGCTCTATGTCGTCCCGTGTGGATGCTAAATTTGTGCTTTTTATCTAGTCTGTTCGTGTTTACTTTACTCCGTCAAGTTATATAGCAAATGCTTCAATCATTGAGTTTTTATCTAAAAGTTATCTATCATTATTTCCATACACCGTCGACTACGGCCACCAATTCCGCGATCATCATTCATTCTACGCATTAGCTACTGGTGAGGAACCCACCAGCTATTGTGCCACAATACAGTTTAACCAGGTGGCAGCAAAATAGAAGTATAAGACGACAACAAGTGAGGCAAAACAAAACTATTATGCCTTGTTTTATATTATAACGACGAAGTCGTCCTGAGGCTAAGTGGGACGCGCGAAATCAAGAAACTCAGCACAAAACCATTGAAATCGCATCTTTGCCATGTAAACAAATGAACCCAACCATACGTCTTTATTGTCTTTCGGACTACAATCAGTCATGAAAAGTAAAGCGTTCTTGGCACGGACAAGCGCGTGATGCGAAGTGAGGCGGGTAACCCGGACTACGTTACAATTCTGTATTTAGCCCTGCCAACGGTACGTGATGGCGAAGCGGTCAATTTGTGTCCACGGCTGGCCAAGTTATGTGAACCTTCAAGTGACACGTTGGTACCAGAACCACCGAAAGCTAATACTCCATAGCAAAGGCCTGTGACCGGCGCAGAGCTGAGGTAGGCGATCACCTTTGTCTGTTCTGCGAGTACCACGGCCATGTTGACCACCGTGTTCACGCTCGTTAGCTTACCTCTATCGGTCTTCGCGTCTAAGTCCTCGGCAAGCACCACGGTGTCTATACGGCGCTTTTCTTGATGAAGATCGGAGCGGTAACTCGTCTTTGACTGACTGGAGTGCGGTCCTTGGGAGTGTACCTTCAACGAACAAGCGACATCTGCTGGCTCCGCGGCTGGAAGTCGCGCAGTGACGACTGTTGACAGGGACCCAGTCCAGTTGCGAGGCCTCAGCGCGTGTGCTCAACCCAATCCCCATGCCGGCAAGACCAGCGGCTTCGGCTGTTTCATCTCCAGATTTGTGCAGTGTGAAAATGCCAGCGAAACTGACGGATGAGGAAACCAGTTGTAGCGTCGTTCTAGGGTTCTGTAATCGGGTTTCAGTGATACAGCAGGCGTCAGTGACAGTAGTCTCAAGAGTGCAAACAAGGACTACTTGTGATCCGATTTGCATCAGCGTGTTAGGGTTAAAGGTTGCCAGTTTGTGATAGAGACGGGGCGTTGGAAGGGCTTGACAACACTACTTGGCGTCACACCCTCCTTCTAAGTTCCTGATCCGTATAGCTAGAACACTCGCTCAAGGTGGCACGGTGTTGTGAACTCGGTAACGGGGGAGTTGAACAAACGTAGAATAAACTGAACGGTAGTGCAGTAGAATGCGACATAGCATGTCTAGCCACCAACATTCCGGCCAAGAGTGACATTGGCAAAGGGCAGAGAGAGAGAGAGAGAGGGCGGAGAATCCTTGAAGCCTTAGTCCATTACTTGTGCGAACTTTAAACTTCCCTGTTTCCCAGGTCGGAGAATAGGATCGACTTAGGGAACCCCACCTGGAGCCTTGTATCATAAAGACCTGACCTGCAATTCAGCGGGGCGATTGACGTCCATCACAAACCGTTGGGAGCCAGCTGCTACCTTGAGGATAACACGGGTTTCCATTTGGAGCAAACTAATCAGGACGTTTCAAGGATCCTGAGTGAAACTGCACGAGGCCAGGCGAAATTTCCTGGACAACCAAACTCGCCGGTGAGCATGAGTCGTTAATAACCACGTGTCTCATATGTCTTTGTTGAAAGCGGTGGTAATCTAGACCAGCCATTCTCAACTGGAGCCATACGGAATTCCCGTAGAGCCATAAAATGAGGAAATTTTTAGGGAGGCCATAGGTGGGTTGTGATAACACAAATAACAAAATCCACTTTTTAAAGTTTTCTGCTAGTTTCTGTTGGCGCAATTATCTTCCCTGGTAACTACCAGTCAGTGAAATTAATTACATTCGCAAGTGGCTGTTTACTAAGGGGTGAAGGCCACACGGGACAGACTTTCTTTTGCGGAGCTGGCATAGCTTCGCGAAACTTGTGCAGATTTCGCCTGGCTCACCTCAAACATACGATCATCATATGGTGACTTAGACTGCGTAACTAATAACCGATTCGTCCTCAGGACTTTGATACCACGGTGAGCTCGCTGGGCTCTACGCACGACACTGATGCATCTACTGGGCAGGCTGCGGTGAACCCGTTGAAACCTCCTCAGCACATGGCGACACACTGCACAAAGCCACGCTGACACTAACCGAGTTTTCCTCAGGACACTACCACTGTGTGGTAACTCATGTGCCGGTCAGTCTTTCTCGTTCGGGTCAGTGCGGTAGGGCTAGGTTACGCGCTTTTCGTCCCCTGTCTCATCTCGTGTACGTCTGGCGACTAGGTCACGTTGGTTCGCAACGTTTCGAATTCGAGTGGCTAATCTGCGCGCGTGCGGTACTAACTCTGAAGAACGTTCGTACCAACTAAGCGTCGAAACAGCTGAGATGCGTTATGACGCTTTCTTAACATCCAGCTTAACTGAAAATTTCAAATTACCGAGCGATTTTGTCAACTTATGTGTGGACATCCTGTTTATTTTGAGTATATCTAACACTATGTGTACATTAGGATACTTCTCCCACTACACATAATAATCAGATTCCTTGCCAACACGTATGCACTCCACCTTCGGAAATAGCCCATGTACGTTATTGGTTTCGTCGATTCTCCCATGCCGGTTACCTGAACAATCGGCGTTTTCTTCCGTGTTTTTCTTTTATGTTCCTTATTTTACCTGTTGTCACTGTTTGCTGCAATTTTCCTGTAATGCAGGTGTGTCCAGTAAGCATCGTCATTTTCTGAGTTCCATTTGTTTTCTTCCGTCATTTTAGCTATCCACGGTAGTTTCAAAGTCATCCTCAGAAACCACCTTCGGGTTGCTTTTAACATTTTTTCTCCATTTTACATGTTAACATTGTAGCCACCAACAGAAGTTACAAGTATGCTTAGCAAATGTCTTATACTCTCACGACCAAGCAAGAATAAATTTACTGCCACCAATCATCCATATTACCTGCTTGGTTCGCTTGATCGGATGCGATTTAATATCCATGATGTAACTGAGTAAGAATAAAACAAAAGCAGTAAATAACTGTTTATATTACATTTTAACAATTTACAGTGACATATTTCAGAATTGAGCTCTTCGGCAAAGTAGGAGTGTCAGCAGTACTCCGTGGGACACCTGTCATTTGGATTTATCGCATCACCCCTAAACGTCACTCTGCCGATGTTTTTAATTTGCTAGAACACTTTCAACTGCGACCAAGTAAACTGAACAACCATTTGAAAAGTGTTCATAAGAACGAAAGTGCTTTGCAGATTTTTCAGAAAGCTGCGGCATTGTTTCTAAAACAGACAAAAGTTAAAGACAATGCTTTCTGACTGGGGACTGGACTTACGGGGTCTTATCAAATCAACGAAATGATTGCCACAAGTTGCAGTCCACCTAAGGTTAGAGCAAATATTACCTCGCCTTTAGTATCAATAATGCTGTCAGACCTGATGTATGTGAATCCACAACAAGCCATTCTTCTCAGCAACTCAACTCTGGCTAGGTGAATAGATGAGATGACTCAAGGTATAGAAAGTACCTTAGTTACAGTACAGAAACTTTTATCAGGAGGAGATAAATCTACTTAATGGAAGAGATGCCATTTACCAGGATATATAAAACTAATGCAAAGGGCCAGTCTATGATCGAGGTAATCAATGGCTATCTGCCTGAAAAATCCATCACAATGCAAAACATAGTTGCATGCGCAACAGTTAATGCTGCCGCGATTGTCGAAAGATATAAAGCATTTATTGTCATTTCCTTTATACAATTCACCTAGTAACTAAGAAGTTGGGTCATTTAAACAATTCACTATCAACTGTTTCAATATCAGTCAACACCATCAACTCGCACCATCTTCAAGATCGTCTTTTCCAGCAGTTGTTGAGGAGAATAGCGAATATTTCCAGGTTCCACTGTTGCATACAGAAGTTAGATTTCTCTCTCTCCAAGGGCAATTGACTTCTCCGTTTCGTTACATTCTGGGACACCATAATTACATTAGGTTCTGCAAATAATTATGCAAAGAAACTGTTACAAGCTAAGCCAGACGTGTTTTATCTGGCTGATGTTTATGAAAACTCAATTTATTAACTAAGACTTCGAGGCAAGTTGAGTGGGCTCATCGCGAACAAAGGAGCCATTATTGTTTTTCTGAAAAAGCTAGAAGTGTATGTTCACTACACCGAACGTCAGAAATGTTTAGTTTCCAATTCTGGTTACAGTCACGGATGAGCTGAGGGATGGAGGCTTGGTTGCTTATGCCAGTCATTTACAACAAAGAAAAGAAATGAGAGACTGTTTTCATGACTTGTTTGACATGGAAATCCCGATTCAGATTTTAGTTTCATTTGATGTACAGCCTTCCGATGTTGGAGTTCATATCCGGGAAAGTCTTAGAGAGCTTCAAGGTGACACACTAGTAAGATACAAATTCACGCAATATTCAAGGAGTTTTTGAATAACGACTGATGTCTCTAATAGATATCCACGACTGTGGGAGATAGCTGAAACATGTTTCCTTGCTTCTTTGCCCACATACTTGGTGGCATGTGGGTTTAGCAGAGTGGATTCTCTGACAAAAAGTAGAAACAGATTGGACCTCACAACAAAAGTAGATCTTCGACTCTCGCTGTCAAGTCTGGAGCCGGACATAAATAAGCTTGCTCAAAGACATCAGGCTCAAGGCTCGCATTAATCTCTCGTCAAACCTATAGTTACAAAGTTACCAAACCTAATCCA